TATGAGCCGAATCGTCAAACATGAACATGTAGTAACGCTCCAGATTCGAACACAACCAGTTTGAGAAACATCATAGACCTCTTATCCTGAATGGTCAATATGATCCCCAGCTTTGCTCATAACAGCTCTTTTCACGTAGGCATTCAGAGTGACAGAACGAGTTTTGCCGATGAGCTGGACACAAGACTAGTAGTGACTTCTTTCCGATTGATGGTCGAATTCTGCCAAGGAGCCATTCTCGTTTTGGTCGAAGACTTGACGAACACGCTAGGACAAATTTTTCTTCAAATAATTTCCTCACTCTGTATAAGACCCACATACAACCCAGCCTTGAGTACTAACATATTCACATGTTTCTCTTCCACGATTTCGTTGCGCGTTGTGCCTAACAGAATGGACTCGGTAAGCTTCTGGTATGGTAAAGTCACGCCAGTTTTACGTGAAAGATTCGTTCTTTGCCTTCTTTATAATAATCTATACGTAACAATGCAGCTTTTAACATTCCTTAATTCATTACGTGCTCTGATATTTAGGTTCCTGTCTACACAGCTACACCAGTATAAAAATAAGTTATACTATGTTAAATCAATGTTTCCAAATGCAAAGCGACTGAGGTCTAGTTTGTCAGATTGCATAATCTCAGCTTTATTTCCAAAAGATTCCGAAATTTTCCAAACTACTGCACTATGACCCGAAAACGCCAGATCTGATAGCTCAATATAAGCATATGGAACAAAAGTTAGGGGGTCATTTACACGTTGACACATGTATTTTGCTCCCTTTTGTGAGTTACCCTGCATTGTCAAGCATAATGTACTAATACGCTTCTTATATGCACCAGCATTCTGATGGGAGCTAGCTGGGCAGCTTTGATAAGTCTGTTATCACGATAGGTGCGCGTCTACACATATTTTAACCAGTCACAAAGATGCTATCGAATAATACATTTAGCTGTTCAATGTGTTTTACAAAAAAACACTGGAAACATCGTAAAGCGTTTCGTAAACCCGACAAGACTTCTACGGTATTTTATTGTGAAATTTGTACAACAAAATCAAAACGGATTATTCCATCGCATGGCGGAAGAGAAACTTAGGCCCAATTTCACCAACATTGATATTATGGACCAATGGGAAAATACCTTATCGAAATGCAATTTAACAGAAGCTGTCAAAGGTCTCTGAATATTGAAATATTGAATAAAATCGTGAAAATTCGACTGTATTATAAACAAGACCACTTTTTGATTCCAACATGATGCTTTTGTACAGAAAAAACAGGACAACTTTCATGTATTTTGATATATGTTATAGGTTTACATTTAACAATCCGTTATCCCCTCAGCGAATGGGAATGCGGCAAATAATACGTCGTTTTTATAGCTGTTAAATTTGGCAGCAGATTTGGACGTTTGTTAATGCATGGCACTCTCGAATTTACCAACTTCAATATACTGAAAGTTATCATTACATACCTGTTGAATAGTGTGGATTTGTCTGTATATTGCAAGAAAATAGAATATAAAATACATTCCATCCAATTCCTCATCTCCCTTTACGTCATAATAGTAATCATTTATTAATTTATGGGTTAATGAATTTCTTCAAAGCAATAATAACATTATGTCCTCTCCATCCTAAAACACAGATAATATGTGTAAGACGTGTCAATCCCTACAACTCCCTGATGCATAATGCAATTACTATGGACATAGACAAAAAATTATGAAAAATGTTTCACAAATACTGTCTTTTACGTCCAAAAATCATGAAAATTAGTAATGTTTCATGTCTGTCTTTTTGACTGGCGCACTGGCGGGGATATCTATCTGTCACTCGCAGGGTTGACAAGTCTAACGACGATCACGTCCCGTGGTGGAGGGTGCGAAATGAATCTTTTACATTTGCTGGTTTTGAATTTTTTTCATCAAGATTTACTAGGTATCATGATTATAAGCATCTTTGGTAGATTGTTCGATCCCGAATGGGAAAGATCTCCTATTTATGAAAATATTTTTGGTATCATCTAACCGTTGCAATCAGTGCACAAACACTGTGTCATATGATTTATAGCATAACCCGCTGCCCTATCAACACAAATTTAACATACAGGTCGCCTAGCCGTGGGGATGCAGTGGTCGGGATGAATATCACGGTAGCAACTGATGATTTGGGCATATCTGGTAACAACTTATGAAATGAAACTCGCTAACTTCACAAATTTGAAGATTTTGTACAATTTCTTCGAAAATGATGAAAGATATGTCTGATTTGGCAAGGTAATGTCGCAGCCAAATGGCAGTCACTCTTTTTGACACAGTCCGGATCGAAAGATGACGATACTCGTGAAATGTATTGATACTTCTAAATATAGGATCGTATCGAACATCCCTACTGTCAAGATCTATAACCCAAGGTACCGACGGAGCGATTTTGCGGCGTCATGGAAATAATTTTAAATTTTCATTTGCATTTTTTCAAGGGTTGTGCAATGATTTTGGGAAAAATTTCACGAATAGTCTTATAAAGCATAGTAGAGTATATTTCAACAGTTGGCGGAACTTACTCCACTGGGACCAGGAGGGTGAAACGGGGTATTAATGCACAATCTTTCAACCCTGTCGCACCCTCACAAAATGGCCGCACAAGTCACCGTGTTGTCATTGAATAGCATGGAATTAAACCTTCAGAGTATATTATGTTTTGTGACTGGTACCAAGAGTTGACAGATCCCACACATGTGTCACTTCTTGAAATGCAATAATCAGCTGTATTCAAATAATGTCTAATATAACTATAACCTAGAATGTGTACTAGTGAAAAAAGTTTTTTTGCAGGTTTTAGGTTTGCTGGTAGCTTTAAGGCATATATTTGGGAATTTCTTAATCGCTGTGAATATAGTGTGGATGTTTGTTCAGTTCCTGAACAACGAAAAATATTCAACTTTATGGATGTGTGGATATCAAAAAACCTGAATGGTTTTGTGGGAATATCAATCTAAGGTGCCATAATGGTTCTGATGAACGGCAAGTAAATGAATGAATGTTTGGGAACGAGCAATATCTTTTGGTAGAGCCTGTCATCAAGTAGGTACTTAATGGCTATCTGCAAGAGGTTTATAGGAAAAATCACCCAGTATCGCATATCAATTGAAGAAAATAATATAAACATGAATAAAAAATCAACAATAGTAATTAAAACATGAATTTAATTCAAAAATCAAATATTTCTTAAAATTTTGACTGAATTATATGTAATTTCTTAATATTCAATAAGGTGGTGATGTTTCAATGACAAGTTGTCATCTCATACTTTGACAGTATTTTGTTTTCAACATTTCATAGCTATTGGTTGCTAAAATTTGTTGACTGGAACATGAAGCTCATTCGCTGTATCTGACGGTCTGTTACCCTATAGGTGGAGAATAACGGACTGTTGTTGGTAAAATTGGCCCTTAGAGATGAGACAATGAGTGGAAAAGATCTATTAATAGAGATTCGCTTATGTCTTTTTTTATATTAATGGATTCGTGAAAAATGATTCTAAGAAAGAAATAATCAATTATAACGCCAAATAATTAATTCACAGTCCGGGTATAATAATGTTTATATTAATAATTCTGTCGTGTTGACACTCGAAAAGATCATACGATCAAACAATACTATCAGCGTAACGTCCAAAATCTTAATGATCAAAAATGCCTCCTTGCTTCGACCTTCACCCATTCATCGCCTATCGCTGACGCCTCATTCCGCATGGGCGTAACACAATATTTGTTGAAAAATCTGCTTTTTGTGTGTGGACAAACTGCATGCTTTTCTATACAATGATGGCCATATATTTCTTCCCTGGTTGATCACAATGTGTGCGTGAGAGAGAAGGGGAGAGCGAAAATCTTGTATGTTAGAAAGGATGCCATTTTCTCCGCAGTCGCTGGACTACAAAGCTTTATTGTCCTTGGCATAGTAGTAATGTTGTGAGAAAATTTCATCAAAATCCGAGCGGTGCTCTTCAAGTTATAGACGGACCAAGGATTAGCAGACAGACAGTGATCGTGTCCAAGATCCCGCCACACAAATTCCGTTCATTGTGTAGCCCTGGGACTGCTTTGGCTGTTTGACAGCAGTTTCCACTTGGCTGTCAGATTTGATAGTATGTTGAGTAATGTTGCGAACTGTCAAATCCATTCCACGGCTACTGCTATTCAGCATAATAGCGCTGCACCGCTTGGATCGCTTTACGTTGGCTTAACAACCCCAAGACATTAGTGATTCCAAAAATCGCCAGTGGCATGGCATCAGATTCCATGCTGATTTGAATAGTGAAATAACTCTACATTCCACTTCAGTGGCCACTGTTTGACGACCATTAGTGCAATCTACCGGCACAGGATATTAATGCGCGCTTTTGTTATGTTTTTATCAACATTGCACAAATTAGATGGCTGTTAACGTTATTCGCCTATCAATATGGAGAATGACTAACTTGGATGGGCATAATCGTTATTGATCGATTAATAACGTTATTGACAGGTTTCTCGTATTTGTGTGTACGATACCTAGTTTAAAAAACATGTATTCCGCGAGAAAGGTTTACCCGACTGAAGGACTTGTCATGCTCTATGAATCAATTATATCTGATCTTCCGTGATATGCACCTTGTGAGTACGTGATCTCTTGCCGCATTAAGGGATGCTGTTACCAACTGAACATTTATTTCATTCTCGTTTTGCCATACTCCGACATAAAACATTTCACACAAACGGAGCCGCAAGAAGCAGATGTTAACTGCATTTAGCTTCATACTTTATATTTGCTTTACCAGGCCATTACCATAACAATCTTGATGATTCCTCAACATACCGTGAACAAACAAACAAAAGCACGCGTTCCACAAGAAATATAAGTCCAATTTTGGTCACTTTTCTCCCGTATCAGATCCAAATCTGGCCGACGCTACGTGACAATATGCAGGTCCGGGCTTTGTTTGGAACTTATGGGAGCCGCCGTAGCTCTGTGGTCAGATCGTCGGGCTAGCAATCCGGGGCTCGCGGGTTCAAATCTCCGCCGTGAAAGTTAATTCCTTGCTATGGATGTTGTGTTGTCTATGTCACGCACGTGGTGAAATATTAACAGGTACCTGTCATTGCTGCAGCTGGCTTATTATAGCAGTTACCAGTAGATGGCTCGTGGAGTAGTACATACTACGAGGTCGGCAGAAAGTGTCAAAGGTGACCTAGTTGCCAGGCTTTGCCATCTCCACCACAGCAACTACTACTTACCTTAATGGTTAAACGCAGGTGAGTATAGTCTGCGAAAACCAAAAGTTTGCAAATTTTGGCTTGAAAAACAAGGTTGAAATCACTTTGAAATAAACTTATCTCAAAATACTCTTTAATGTCTTGCAGAGCAAAGTTTTTACTTTAATTTAGATACTTGGCGACCTCAAAAATAACAATTTAATAATAATGTCTTTATTAATCCCTCCACACTGCGAGGCGAAGTTTAGTCAGCTGGCTACTCTACCACTTAACCTCACAGCGCAGGAACACATACAAAAGGAAAAACATAACAATGAATAGCAATCGAATAAATAATATATGTATACAATAATTAAGCTTAAATAGATTAATCTTAATAATAAACAAAAAAAAAACAATAAAGACAAAAAAAAAATAAATATATCAGCCAGCTTGGCTAGCAGACCCCAGAAGGTGGTTCTTAATGGCTCTCTTGAATGCAAGTATTCCCATCTTTTTGTAATTGTCATTAAGACTATTATACACCTTGACAGCGTTGTAGGTGAAGCTACGATGGAAAATGTTGCTCCTATAACTAGGTATATGGAAGTCAGAGTTATGTCTCAGATTCCTGTAATTGAGATCCCCACGTGGTACCAGCCTTTTTAGTAGATAAGTAGTTAGCCTATTGATTTTTATTCGTTGTACTAAAATTAGTAAGTTATATGTGAAAAGCTGGTGAACCCTCAACCATCTAAGGTCATTGATCTTCTTAGACACATGGCTAAACTTTCGCAGACCACAAACGAACCTACAGCAGCTATTTTGAATTTTTTGTACTTGATATCTAGTCACGTAATCAAGACAAGGAAAGTAAACAGCAATTGAATAATTTATTAACGATAGAACCAGAGTCTCAGCCAGTTTTTTGCGAGTCTTGAAATTCAGAATATGGCGATTGGTGTATAATAACTTCAAACTCATGTATGTTAAGCGAGATAAATGCGTAACATGTTGTTTAAACCTCAAATCTGAATCCATGGTGATCCCTAAATACTTCGCATGGTCTACTATAGTAATATGGGTTTCGTTAAGACTAGGAACAATTGTGCCATCTAACCGTTGTACTAACTGTTTTGGGCCAAATAGCATAGTAGAACATTTTGAAGCATTGATCTTCAGACAATGTCTTTTGCAGTACTCTTCAATGTTAACTAGATCTAAGTTCAATTTATATGATGCTTCATGCATGTCCGAAGAATCAAAAGACAGAGTTAGCTGCGTGTCATCTGCATACGTTTGAATATTACAGTGCTGAAGGCAAGTATGTAGATCTAAGGTATAAACTAAATAGAGTAATGGTCCCAACACAGAGCCTTGAGGTACGCCAGATGCCACACTCTTTGCCGAAGAAAATACCTTACGTGTTTTCACCTTCTGGGTACTATTGCGCAAATACGAATCGAAGAAACGTAGTGGCTTGTCAGAGAGACCATAAAATTTGAGCTTACTCAAGACAATACCATGATACCATATCAAAGGTCTTAGAGAAGTCTAGCAGAATCAGAGCTGTTCCTATCTGATCATCTACATTTTTGATGATATCATCCGTAATATTTAATAAAGCGGTTGTTGTGCTATGCCCTGTACGGAAACCAGACTGATATTGAGGAATCATATTGTTTTGTTCAAAATAGTGGGCCAGCTGTATGTAGACAATTTTCTCTAAAACCTTCGACAAAAAGCACAACATGCTGATGAGCCGTAGGTGAGAATACTCAGAGGGGCTGTTTATCTTCGCCAAAGGCAAAACGATACCTTCCTTCCAGCAGCTTGGGAAAATCCCTGTCTCTAAGGAAACATTTATAATATGAGTAATGTGATTCAAAATTTCTGGTAAGCAGAGATGTATCATTTTTCGACTAAGTCCATCACAACCCGATGTTTCTGACTTGATAGAAGTTAAAACATCCAGCACTTCATGCTGGTCAACGTAGCGAAAAGTAAATGAAGGAACATTAGTGCAGAAGGAGCTATTATCATATTTATGAATTGTAGACTCAATTAGCCTCGAGTTCATATTAGCAGCCTGTGAGTTCAATAAAAAGTAATCATTCAGAGAGTCTGGTTCGAGTAGGTCATCTGGAATTTCAGTTTTTTTCCGTCGACAGATACTCATATCTTCAAGGGTTTTCCAAGCTTGCTGCGTATTCAAGTTATCAATATGTGATAGGTAAGCCTTTTTCCCTCCTTATTGACGCTAAAGCATAATTTCTTAGTTCCTTGTAGTAAATCCAGTTTTCTTGATTGGGAGTACGTCTGAAAGTTATTAAGGCAGTATCCCTCTGTTTAAGTATAAGTTTTACTGTAGCTGTTAACCAGGGTGCGGCTCTTTTATTGACGCGAGCAACTCTGACAGGCGCATAGGCATCAAATAAAATTCTAACCGAGTTTTTAAGCATTGAATATACCCGCACAGTAAACAGATCAAATTTGTTAAAAACATGTTTTAAATTAATTACAATTTCTGGCTGGACAATTTTTTAGATCAGTACAAAAAACTTTTCTCTAAAGCTGACCCTTTTTGGGTCATAAGTGATGTAATGTCTGAAAAGCCCTAAAAATGGGTATAATCAATGCATAAAAATTCGATTTATAGTTATAACTTTTTAGGTCGCCAGGTATCTAAATTGAAGTTTGTACCTTGTTTTAGACGGTTCCGAATAGTATTTTGAGATTACTTTATTTTAAAGCGATTTTCAACCTTATCTGTTGAGCCAAAATTGGTGAATTTTTTGTTTTTGCAGACTATACATTCAGTACTGTAAATTGCACGGCATCATCAGTGTTTGCTGCTTTCTTCATAACGCCCTTATTATGCCAATACATTATATTCAGGTACACGATATTATTTGGATAAAACTAGAACGAAATCTTAGATCACAGTTAGGATTCCTTTATTTACTCAAAAGTAATCATAGACATTGTTTTGTCTTTATTGCACCTTGTTAATAACAAGCATACAATACGATAATAAAATTATCCAAAAAAGTTAAAACTTGTGCTTGGGATTCAAGCTAGAGTATATCAAAATACAACAGATTTTGGAAATGTTTGGGTCAAACGAATATGCTTTTATGCTTCATGTCGACCAATTTATGAATAAATAACCCTGTAAGCTAGAATCTGTGATCTTAGTTCAATTTTGAAGTATATGTTTTATGTCTGCGGAAATAACAAGCTTTTGGGTCTAGATAATAAGGTGATCAAACTAGTAATATAGCTTTCGCATCTGACCATAGACAGCCAACCATGAACAGCTGTTACCGTGCGATGCTAAAAATTCTGTTAAAAATTATAAGTTTTGAGGCCACCGAGTATCTAAATAAAAGTTAAAACCTTGTCCTGCAAGACGTGAAGAGTATTTTGAGATTAATCAGTTTGGTTTGAGAAGTTCCGCGGTGGACGAAAGTTCGACTTTAAAAGTAGGTATCTGCTTTGGTTTCAGTCCATCCCTGGATGGAATACACAGAACCAGTTTTTCCTCATGATGTGGATAGTTGTGCTCGAGCTTTAATGCTTTACATAACAATTCCAAGGAATCGAGACCTGATGTTTTTGCTAGATTACTTTTTCAGTTTAGATGGTTTTTTATCTCGATATAGGTTTCAATTAACGGTTAAATTGACATTCGATAACTTCGTATCACTGATATCCCGGTATCATGATCTTGATTTATTCACTCGTCTAGCCGTCGTTATAAGATACTCCTATAACTAATAACTGGATAGGGAAATAAGATTTAACATTCCTTTGATACGACAAATTTAACATCTAACGGCAGTATGAAAATGCGCTTTGCTGATTTCTGCCAGTAAGGATATCTATTTACTGTTTTTACTCCAAAATATAGCCTCAAGTGTATTTAAAATACATTAGTAGTTTTGAAATGATATGCGGATTAATTGAGGAGGCACATATTTTTATGTACATGTCGTCCTGGGTACGACGTTAGGCGCATGTATTTTTCAGTTCTAATGATCATTTTAAATATATACTAAGTGACAGATAAATCCGAACACCCAGTTTAAATGGTTTTATTTTAATAAAAGTTGGTGAATGTATTTATCTTACTGTAAATAACAAGTGAAAAAATTTTCAGCCTATCAGTTGGTCACATTCCGGTTTATATACTGCTTTTTTTAATTCACTAACGCTCTAAAAATGAATATTTCAGCCGCAGTCAAGAATCAACGTTGGCGGATTTTGGTTCTTGACATCCTTTACGATCGGTTACGATGCCTAGAGTACGGAGACCTGTACGATTTCGTCAACTTAGTGAGTTTGATAGGGACCGTATAGTGGGACTTCGGGAAGCTGGACTTTCTTTTCGGGCAATTGCAGTTAGAGTGCAAAAAAGTGTAGACACTGTGGTTAGGTGTTGTCAGGCATGGCTTCGAGAAGGCCGTACGCAAAGAGCAAGGGGTACTGGACGCCGCCGTAGAACAACAGACCGTGAAGATCACCGCCTAAGATTATTGGCCTTAAGGGACCGTTTTCCCACTACCAGGTCCATTGCAAATGAATGGTTTGCAGAACACGGAAGACCTATTGGCATGCGAAGTGTTCCGACGAATGAGAAGTTTTGGCTTGTTTTCATACCGGCCACACTGGGTCCTCCCTTTAACTCGAGAATACCGACGTAATCGCCTTGAGTGGTACAGACAACGGTCACTCTGGGATCAGGAAAGGAACAGTATTGTTTTTAGTGACGAGTCTCGATTTTGTTTAGGCATGCACGATGGTCGTGCCAGGGTTAGAAGGCGACGTGGTGA